TCAAACAATGCGCAAAAGCTTAATAAATCCCTCGGCAACTATGAGAACCAAAGTATGATTCCAACACTGGAGGAAACCATCTGCGTTGCAAAATGAAGATAATCCACTCTGTGTCAAATTAGACATTAAATTTACAAAGCAATGTAATTCGCGTGATATTAGCGGATTTCAGCAAGGTTAAGAATAACGAGTTTCTCGAGCCTCTGGGGCGTTGATAATAGTGAGTTTTAGTATTGCGTATAGGAGCGAACGTAAGCCCTGGGCGTTTGCGTTAGCGTTGCGTGTTACACTCTGCGCGCGTGCGGAGTCCAAACCGTGGCCTTGGATTGGCGCATGGCGACTTCGCACATGTGCAGCGTACGCAACGCTAACGTAAACACATAGCGCTTGCGTTTGCTCCCCGTACACGAAATACTAAAATTCCCTAATGTATTAACGCGAAAGCGTAAATACATTAGGCAGGGTCATTACGTCACAGTCCCATAACCTCACGCGGGAATTTCGAACATCGAACAGCGCTCACATGAAGCGTGATGTCACGCGGGGAATGAAAGTGATCATAACATGCCATCTAATGCGAATGAAAGGTCGCCACATGTCTCAAATAATTTCACTTTATCCAGAAATTCATTTTTCGAAAATCTCACCTAAAATTTGAAGAATTTTAGATGGGATTCGATCCTACGACCCTTCGGTTGGTTTCAAGCCAGACACGCTACTGACTAGACCACGGAGACACTTTTTTTTATTGTTTAGGACACGCAGACACACTTGCACGGCTTGGGAACGAGGGGTAGTTTATATTTTTAGCTCTCGCATTCCACTCTTAAAGGCGAAGCTTTTGCGCCCTCCTCTAGTTTGTTCTTGACAGGATTTTGTAAAAAGAAATTTCAGAGAAATTACTTGGATATGCGTAATATATAATCTTGTAATAAAGGGCAATCATCAGATGGGTGCATGTCTGTGAAGATCCTAATGTATCCAGCAAAACACTAGGAAGTGGGAGTTTTTGATGCAACATTCAGCATACTTTACAAAATACGAGAAACAACAGGTGGATCTTTGGGGGGCTTCAGGGATCCAAGAATGATGGATTTTAGATTATTTAGTAGAACACGATTAGAATTCACTGATGTTTTTAGGGTTGTTATAAAGAATAGTTCTACATTAAGCAGCCTATTAAAATTTAGGTAGCAAAATCATTGCTGTTTTATACCTTGAATACATGGTGTCCCGGGACACAAAAAAACTCGATGATGGAGTATGGTTTTCTCTTGTGCTTTATAGCAAGGACGATACCCGGGGCAGCACCATAAAATATCCCACCTTCTGATCGCGACTAATCGGCTACAAAATAGTCGGAGATTAATGTATGATTCGATTAATAGGTGGCTTAATGATTCATATCGTAGATCTAAACATCAGTAGTCGCTATATACTGTACCACTCAAAGTAGTACAGGACGGGTAGCTTCCTGTCAGTTCAATCACGCCTGGGTGGAAAATTCACTGATGAACTCCTCCTCGTAGATACAAACCACATAATACATTTCTTTTTACACGAAACGATACGAAAGATTTGACGATCAGTTGGCTCAGACGAAGTAATTTCCCTATCAAATTGCACGAAGAAAACTCGCATTTCGCACGACAAAAGACGCGCTGACGTCACTAAATTGGTTTGCCGGTGAGCTCTCAGCAAGCCTGCAGACAGGGATTAACACAGAGAATGGCGATGAGCTGTCTCTGGTCTGGCTTGTTTCTTTTCTTTCAGTTTGTTGCAGTTAGCTATATCGAAGTAGAAAATGAGGTACGTAAGAAATAAAACAGAAATGCTAACTTCTAGTACTAGAAAGTTATAACTAGGGTTCCGAGTTTTCGAAAAGTACGGATAAACACCAAGGATTAACATCTAAATCGGTTATCTCGAAATAAAAAAAAAAAACACACTGCCAAAAAAAAAAAAAAAAACTCGTAATTTAAGGTGCTATTGACGAAGGAACACCCAAGTTTTAAGGAAAAAAAATGTTTGTCAAGAGTTTTATTTTCTGTTGACCGGAAAGACAGTCCCCAATGAACTGTCCGCAAGGCTCCTCCTTTATTCGGAACAGCACGCATTAACTTGTTTTTCTTTATCATCGGCATGGGGAAGTTTTCGGGAGACATGTATGCTCCCGGAGGGTTAAGACATTCCATTTCTGTGCCCAACTTCTTTAACATAAGCCCCTATAAAACCCGATTTCTCGGCAGTGACAAAAAATGGATACAGAAAAACACTGAATACGTGAAGAAAACACCCCCGAATGTTCTGAAAATAAGCACAGAAAACTAGGAACTCTTGTTGTAACTTATAACGCAATGAATGTCGAGGATTAACTTTTTGTTTCTTACTTTAATTTTTCGTTTCTAAGTTTATATCTAAAAATGGAGGCATTCGGTCTATTCCTTACGTAATCGGCTCCAGAATAGATATTGAACCAGGCACATAGATATTGAACCAGGCACAGGGGTGCCAAAAGAAACTTCAACATAAGTCTCGAAAACTCATCAGGACATTGGGCTATGTTTGTAAGAAGGCTTTCCAGTCGACATGTGCATTTTCATCATTACCCGTGCTTCTCAGGTTTGCTGTGGTTATGATCAAGGTTGAAGGCCAATGTTCACTTCCGTTTGGTCTAATGGCTGCCAGCTTCTAATTACTTCAGTTTCCAGAGCGCTGCACGAGTCCTGGAGAGGTTCCGGGATCGAATCCAGGATCAGATGGGTTTCTTCAACGGCCACAAGTCACTTAGAGGGCGCGAGCTGCACGTTGTTTCAGGTGGAAGCCATTTTACTCGTACGTACCCGAGCTTAAAGTTGATAAAATTGAGTGTTTTCTAAATCGCGCTATTTGCTTTTGTTAGTTAATTTGTGTACGTTTTCGGGGGCTCATCTTTGAGTATTGTTTCTTGTCGAACAAAATACTGCCAACCTGAGTAGACAACCTAAGTGTGACGGCATCCTCGCTTTGCTCGAAAAACGTACTGCGTAGTAATTGCACTCTCGGCGAGAAGTGCACTCAATACAAATCGGTGCTAAATAACATCTAAACTCACGTCAAATCAGTTAAAAAAGTACTAAATTGGCAATAAAAATAACTTTGGGTCTGCGTTAAAACTGGCTGCGCTTCATCCAGCCGGTTCTCTTTGGCCTGTCACCCATGATAAAGATTTGTCTTCCCGAGGAGGACCCAATTACCATTGCACACCTAAACAAAAGAGAGCTGACTTTGTATTAAAAAAACAACGAAAAAACACCGCTCCTTCTCTTAGCTTGCTTTTGCTCACTGCTCTTGCTTCTTTAAAGTAATATTTTTAATCGTATTCTTGTGTTGAAGCTGATGGTTTACATAAATCTAAATCAATATCCATTTGACTTTAGATCAGTAATAAGTGCGTAATCACTCAACCAAATCACGTTGAAAAAAAAGACAAACAAAGAAAAACGCTGAACCGCACGAATTCTGCGCTCGACAATGCATCACTCGTCGTTTTCGACCCCGGTGACAAGGCGAGGGAAGACACAAGCGCAGAGGGGTGCCGGGTTTTCGTCGAGCGGCCCAGCTAAAAGCAACAAGCCCGTGCGTGGCGGCGTGGGCGGGACCATGGGAGGACCCCGTGACGACCCCTCCGACATCCGACACCCCAGCGGTCCCTCTCCGCCGTGCCCCACGGCGGTCCCCGGGGACACCGGCTGCACGTCGACCAGAGCCTCGAGACGTATCTTGGCCACCACCCCTCCACGACAGCCAGACCACACGAGGCGAAGAACGAGGTGCAGCTCTGCGTGGAGACTTGGGCCGCCTGTTGGACAGCGTGACGATTGGTGGCGTGTCCTGGAGTGGTGGGAGCCACGCTGAAGTTTTGGCCGGCTGACAGGTTCGAGAGAGGTGTCTACTTAATCACAACAGGTAGGCGCCTAAATTTGATGGATTGCTCTCGAGAGTCAGGTGGGTCTGTTCAAGGCGGCATACGTCTTAACAAACGCGCACTGTGGCAATGATATAACACCACTTGATTTTTACCGGCTTCGATTGTTTGAAAGCAGCTTCATAGCATGAAGTTTGCGGTGCCAGCTAGACGAAGCGGGTTGCTTATATTAAAAAGTGACATATTGTTTAAAATAAATTTGTGATAACGGTTTCTTCATTTTCAGCCACTTTTTTTTTTTTTGTTGACATGTTGGTGCACAAATGCCGTCGGATAGCGGTCTTTATATTCACCTTGTATATAGGTTGACTTTTTTATTTTTTTATGTTAGAAAATTTGAACCGGCTGTCAAGAAACAAAGATTTAAAAGTGCAACGTAACCTTTGAAACAATTTTATAGTATTTTGTAAGGACGGTTCGTAGCCTCATATGTCGCATCGTTCAGTCGACCTTCAAAGGACTTGAGTGAAAACACGTCTGCGACACGAAAGGGACCAAAACTTTTACGTGACCACTCAGGCGAATTAGATGCAACGAAATTAAGCAGGATGACATAACGAATTGAGAGGAATTTAATTTAATTGAATTAAAGTAAATCATCTGTCATTCTTTAATGCATCGGCGCTTTGGCTTTCGCCTTCAAGTCGTCTTAGTGAAAAATAACAGACCTTATGCATTTTTCTGACAAAGCTTACAATACGGTTTCAAATATAGGTACCGCTTTCTGCAACAGGATAGTGCAAAAGCGCAGTCCGTCCTGGGTCATTCTAAGAAACCACTTACGTCGTTACAAACTTGCATGAAAGGTCGTACTTATGTTGGCTCTATAAAAAACTGTTTCATCTGAACTCTTCTAAATATATTGTCTTCCAAATTGATATTTCTATGTCTTAATAAGTTTCGCTCCTTCACGATTTTAATTTTTGTGTAGATGGAGGCCCCCCAGACGGTTCTAGAGAACACGGACCAGCCCTTGTGCCATTGGCGACAACCGACTGAGTCCTGTCGACACCTCTCTGAGCATGCACTGTCAATGGCGAGCCCTTACCAGCAAACTGCCGGCCTCCAAGACTGCTCGTCTAACACTGGCAGCTCGTCCGAATCTATCTACGCGACTCTTCTCCGAGCTGGCTTCGCCCACAACTGCTTCGAATTCCCCGACCCGAGTTACGTGACGTCGCCGCCATTCGCTGATTGCTTCTATTCCTCCGGAGAAGAGGACCTAGCCACGTCATCCGATGGCGCGTCGGGAGTCTGCGAAGAGCTCGACCTGGCCTTTGAGCCACCCCGACAGCCGACTTCTCCAGGCCGTGTCCAGGAGGATAAAGACGTGTTCTCTGCGACAAGAACTGTCATCTGTGACTCGGACCAGAGCTTGAGTAGCAGCAGCAACGGGAGGGAGTCTATAACACCGGAGGAGTCGGCGTCCATGGCGACTGCAGTAGCGTGCCCCAGGGTCTTCGAGGTGGGGGAGGCTTCAGGTGAGAGCTGTGCTTTAACACCGGTTTTTAAATTACTACTTGAAACGTAAACAAGGACGTGTCTTTTATTGCCGAGCTTGGACTGCCTTTTTGAGTTTCTTATTTTTCATTTAAAAACACATTTAATTTTATTTAAATGTGTTTAAGGCGTTGTTTTTTTTGTTTTTTTTTGTACGAAGCAACTTACCGAAGCTTTATCAAGTAATATAGGGTTTCAGTAACAATGTCTGCCCTTCTATATTCTCTTGGTATCATGCTCAGTAGGAATTGCAGTCTGCGGTTGCCAGTCATCAGAGAGTAGGGCTAAATTGAGAAGATTTCCATGCACCGGCAGAGTGCCGAAACATAGGAGTAGTAACGGAAGTATAGCTGTCATTTGTGGTAGAGGTTCACGCCGGTACGCAGGTCAAACAATAACATTTTTGCTCAGATCCGTATAGAGCTGGAGGCCAGTCTGATATAAGGCATGATGCTTGGTTTCGCCACCGCTGATGTTAGGTGATTGTGCACTGTGGAACAAAAATATTTTACAAACGTTTGGCGGCATGACGCAGTTCCACACTGAAACTCGAACGGATTGGTCTTAAACCTACAGTGAGAGCTTTTGCTACACCTGTTGGCGAGCAGTGATTTTTTGGCAGTTTTCCCTTCCGGCCTTACTGAGCGCTTTATTTTGGTACTCTTTCGTGCAAGCATAATGGCAGTGCCTTTTATAAAAGGGTATATTGTGCATGCTACTGCATGTTCGATTCCCAAATCGTCGATTGTGCTTGCCGGTGCCTTCACCTTGAATGCTAATAGCTGTGTCTTTTTTAAGTTTCGCTCCTATCGTTGATATATTTTTTTTACTCCATAAACTGGATTTTTTCCGCATCGCAGTTAGCAAAAGCCTATTCATTTTCTGACCGCTTTCGCAGAACTGCACCTCTTGTAACGAATTTTGTGCTTTTGCATGTGTGCCCATTTGGTAAAGCTAATTTCTTTGAGGCCAGTTACCCGGAATATATTTATCTTCATTTAAAGAACACGGTTATAACAGCTGTGTGACTTTGGACAGCTCATTTTGAATTTAAATGCCATGAAAGTCACCCGCAGTTTTGTAATCCTCCCAGTGGTTTATAATTACGCATAAATACCTGGTTTGCGATAAACTAAAGGATATTTTTGTTTTACCACTTCAATTATCTTGTCCCCAAAGTGCATTCTAAATACTCATGCCCATATTCATTAAGCGCCACTATAACTTGTCTAACAAAACAAAATAAAACTGTACGTCCTAAATGACCAGTTGGTTGACTAAAGCCGGGGCCTAGTCTCGATTATTGTTCGTCACGTAATCAATTTGAGTGACGGACGTAGTTAGACTGAAGCCTCGAATCACGCTTCATTGCTGCTCGTTCTTATCACTTATAGCCCCCAACTACAGCAGGCCATCAACACTTAATGAAGGCATTATAAAAGCTCCTTAACTGTAACCGTGTGATGGATCCAGTGTAATAGAACCACGGTAGACACCAACGTTTGTCAGGATGTCTTGATGACTAATTTTATAAGCAACCTGGGGACCTTTTATGCTTCTCAACCATATTTTTGGCCATTCAATTGTCACTGTAGTTTAAGAACCACGGGGCGTGGCCTACTAGTCATTCTTGATTTTCGTTTTTCATCGTTATTGTTTGCTCATGCCCCCATCTCACTGGCGGCACAGCGATAATAAGATGTCAGGGTCTAGTCACGCCTTGCACTTCTGAGGCTTTCAGATCATAATAGAAGTTACCAAAGTGATCAATTGCAGTCATTGTTGTTTGTGGCCATCGGGAATATATATGTTTACTACCCCTTGATCCATGTCAAATGGTTAATTCAAACAAGTTCAATTTTCATGTGGTGTTGAGTGTTTAGCTCTACACACTTTATAAGCATTAAATTTCTTTATTTTTGCTTTCCTTAATGCTTAATGAGCCGATGAATGAACGACAGAAGCTTCATAGCTGACGCCTTCGTGTGACTACAGTTTATTTGCCCTAGCCGCTGGTTTATTACGAACACGTGAAGAAAAACAAGTATATGCTTTATCTCGCAAAACATCTTCAGTGCTAACAAAGACAGGGGCGCGAGTGCGTGACTTTAAAAAGTGCCTCCTATTCACGAGTGACCGTACAAAGAAAGCCAACTTCTAAGCTAAGCTCATGCACCCTTGTCTTTGTCTGCATTGCAGACGTTTGTCTTGGTTATAGGGACGCCAACTCACGCGTCACCGGAACATTGCTGAATGCAGGACGTTCTCACCTGAGTCCGCATAACCAAAACATCTCCCACACTGCAAAAAACGAAAAAAAAAAAAAACTTCTGTGTGCCGTCACAAATTGATATACTCTTCTAGCGACATCTTGGCAACGCCGGAAGCCTGTAGGAGGAAACAACCCGAAATTCAAATCATACGCGCACCGCTATACGGCGTACACGTTCAATTGTTCTTTGCGCACCTCGTGCGTTTATTTACCCCCAAACGCGCCCACGTGCTTTTGTTTCCCCTCGACCTCCACGAAAGATGTTGTGCGCTTGGCGGTCTCGTCGTCGCAAAGTTCCCTGCGCCTTCTCTGTGTTCCCTTTTTGTCGGCGTCCTCCTCCTCCTCGCATTCGGATGCGCCAAAGACTCATTTGGACCACTTACTCGCCTGATACAGGACGCAAACAGAACCTTTCCCAATTTGTTCTGAAAATCACAGCGATTAAGTTCTATACATTTTGAGCTGCTCTCGCCATCTCTTGGATTTGCATAAAAATCCCAAGAAAATGCTTGTGTCTGAACTTAAGTGAGTTTGTATGGGCGCCTGCCGAGTGTGCCTCTTCCGTCAACATTTTACGCGTGGCGCTCCGTCCCACACTGCCGTTTCCTCGAACTCTTGTTCCTAACGTGCTGCGACTCGTTCAATATGGTAAATTTGTTTTCACGAAAATGCATCAGTGCGAAGAACTATAAGAACAGGTCAATAGGTCACTCTTCTCAGTTCTATGGTCACTGTCTATGACACTCTTGGGTAAGTTAGTTTTAAAAAGTAATTCGTTACAGTTACAGTTACTTTCAGAAAAAAGTAGCGAAGTTACCGTTACAGTTACCGCAACAAAAGAGTAACTCGTTACAGTTACAGTTTTTTTAAAAAGTAATGACGTTACTTTTCTAACACACCGAAAAAAATTAGGAAAAACTACAAAACGCCCCTTACCAAGTTTTATTGTATAAAATCGAAAACTTCGATTTCACTTCATATTATAACTTAGCAGACCTTGCTTCTCGAAATTAGTGTTTGAAAATTTCCACACCAGAGTAGTGGCGCAAATCAAAATACGAAACATGCGCAGTGCGGAGGACTGGCGCTAATCGAAATACGAAACATGCACAGTGCCCTCCTTGTGTATTGTTGTTTTACGGTTGATTCCCCCGATTAAAAAGCGTTTTTACAGAAAAAAGAAAAACCACAACATAGATAGTGCTTCAAGACACTAAGATGTAAGTGTTCAATCACAAAGTACAAGCGCGAGCGTAAAAACAACTAGTTTTTTTTTTTCATGTAATCTACACGTGGCTATATTCGGGTTGTGACTTATGAGAAAGAACGTATTCACAAGTTTGTGCAAGGCCAACTTGACACTCGAAATGTCGGAACAGACGATTTGAAAAGTGCAAGGAATATCTAAATTGTAGTCGTTCAGTGATATATTATTGATATAACATTGGAAAGTAACGACAAAATAATGTCGTTATTTTCATCGTTACCTCAGAAAAAAGCAATAGAACTACAGTTACAAGTTACATTTTAAAAAAAGTAACTCGTTACAGTTACAAGTTACCAAAAAAGTAACAAATTACAGTAACGCGTTACTAGTAACACGTTACTACCCAAGACTGGTCTATGATCACACAGCTGTAACACTTCTTGCTTTGTGATTTTTGTCTTCGGCCTTCTCATCGGCTATTGCCTGAATCTCACTTGGGGCGGAGCGATGATGAGATGCTCTCGGTGACTGTAGTAGAAACAGTGTTGTACTTAAAGTACTATTTCAAGTAGGTTGAGGAAAGTTGTACTTTATTTAAAGTACAGTTACTAAGTATGCGCGTGTACTTTACTTAATTAAAGTATTTTTGTACGTTCTGAGGAAAGAACAACTCCCCACTTTCAAGTACACTCCCCAAATTTTTGGTGTATCCCTAAATGACGTCTTATAAACTTTGCAGAAACGCTACTCTTACCTAAACGGGAGCAAACGACGCATTGATCCGTTTTAAAGGGGGGGGGGGGGGGGGGGGGGGAGGCGGCTTTTCCGCAGAATTTTGAATTCTCGCTACTTCTCGATCGTGTAGCGCAAGTGAGGAGGTAAAAAGATGAAAAAACTCCCTCCTTCACGAGATGATTGCTTGGGGAAGCTGCATGGCTGACGTTATGCTCTTTTCCAAACTCGTATACTCCCCCCCCCCCCCCCCACCCCCCCAAATTGGGTGTAAGCTATTGCAAGCGGCGCAAATTAAGAACTTGGAGGGACTTTTGAATTTGGCGTCATTTCTAAAAAAAAATTACTTTCTAGCCATTTAGCTTTAATTAGTATTTGCCATCGTTTTCGAAAATAAGTTCTGCACTCCCGATTACCTAGGGGAAATGCATACTATTAAGAAAAAGTAAAGAGACACTATACAGGAATGAAAGGGCGTCATGGAAGATTGTGTTAAAGATTATATAATATTTTCTTTGAAAGTACTTTGTATTTATAGTGCCTTACTTCAAGTACACTGCGGCCGGTGTACTAACTACCTCGCTTGAAGCACGTAACCCCTGATTTACTTTGTACTTTACATGAAGTACATTTTAGATGCATACTTTACCCAACACTGAATAGAGAAAGCACCAATATCGCCTTGTCGGAAACGCGACGATGCTTACGCTTTTTAAAGTCACCGAAAACTTAAGAAGCAGAGGGAGTAGCGAGCCGAGCATCTTATTAACGGTCAGGAACCAATCAGGTCGCTGCATCAGTTGATAACGACGCCAAAAAGCGAATCACTAAGCAATAAGCATAAACAGGATAATCCCCGCCCTGACTTTCTCAAGTTTTTTTTGTGCCTATAAAGGATGCACGCGGCGAGGCTGGAGGGAAAACAAGCTCGAACCCTTGTGCGAAGCTTTTTCACAAATACCTCTTCACTCAGCTTCGTTTTTGTGCCCTTTCCCTTTTCCGGAAGAAGACGAAGGAGGCGCGGACAGCGGCTGTTCGGAGGAGAAGCCCCGCAAGGAGCGCACGGCCTTCAGCAAGCACCAGGTGCAGGAGCTGGAGTCGGAGTTCGCGCAGCGCAACTACCTCACCAGGCTTCGGCGCTACGAGATCGCCCTGGCGCTGGACCTCACCGAGAGACAGGTGCGTGCACTATACGAATTGTCGACAAGCTGTGCGCGCAAGGACGCGTCACTACACTCAACATTGTCTGGTTTCATACGCACTGAATTCCCTAGGCGAATTTGAAGCGCTATCCATAAGGACTCTGTGATTGCGCCTTGAAAGCGGTGCATGCAGCGCGCACGCAGACGCAACAAGTCACAAACAGAAAGGCACTCCGGAAGCGCTCCAAATCCACCAGGAAAATTCCACATATTCGGTGATTTTAGTCGGAACGACGCGCACCGAACACACTCCTGGCCACTCGGGAGTAAATAACTCGCGTCAACGTGTTTTGAACAACATGTTTTGAAGGTACAGCTCGCGCTGGGTACCTTCAAAACATGTTCACCAGTGAGCGTAAGGAGAGTTGCCGTGCCCACCAACTTTATGTAACGCTAAAGCCCACGGCAGCCTTCGGTAGAACTATTCTAAAACTGCCTACTGTATATTCTATAGGAGTCCACTTACCATGGCAACCAGCGTGTTTGGAGCTCCGTCTGCCCTTAATTAGCCAGCTCGCTCGCGTACTCGCTTTGACTTCAACCAGCGTTACGTCGCTTGATTTCCGTGTTACTTCGCTGTCGACGTGAGCCCTCAAATTAGTTAAACACAGTAAGAAGTACTGTGTTAGTTAGCAAGCTTTGATAGGATCGAACGGCCTCACCTTCCTCCACCCTTATCGATATATACATCGCCAGTGGATTGCAGTTCTACGTTTCGCTGACCTATCGGGTTTCCCTTTGAAGGATTGTTGCAGAGATGTGCCCGAGAATATTTCTACTGTGAGCCTGAAACACTGGCGATCCTATCTTAATGTAAAAATGAAAATAAAAAGTGGATGCGTTGGGATACCGTCGAAGGATACTAGCCATACGGACACCACTGTAGCGATTGTTCAATGGTAAGAATGGATAACGGAGCAATTATATTCCGTTATTTCTGACCCACCGGCAACACGCAACGGCGCATCCGTATGATTCGCTGAGGAAACTCATATTAGTATAAATTTTACATTTGTGGCAGAGACATTTCTCAGCCCAGATTGATGGCACCTCGTGGTATTCGAAGTAACTCAGCGTGCGAATATTACTCTAATATTCACTCTTTAAGTTTACTGCGATAAGGGAAGTGACGTCAATGATACAAGCCGGTAAAATGTTACAGTTCGAGATGTAAAGCAGGAAAAAAAATAAGGGTCCTGAACTGATATCTTGTCAGCAGTACACCTGAGCTAGGTGTAGGACAACGAATACCTGTTGGCGGGTAAGCATCACCGGCAGTATTTTGTATAATATATGATGTGCCAACATAATATAATATTTTTTTCATTACACGATTGCACCCGATTACAATTTTTTTATATTCAAATGAGCGCGGAAGATATTCAATAGCAATAACCACATCGCACTTGTGAAGAGAATGGCATCTTTTATTTTTTTATTTTTTTGAGAGAGCTGTTTAAAGTTAAGGGCACGTATGCATTGGAGCAAAAACTGGAGAAAAGAAGCAATGGTGAAAACACATTAATAGTGAAAGAATACAACAAAACAAAGAGCAAAAATGGGCGATGATACACTTTTCCAACGGAATGATGACACCACCTGTATATACCGGAAACTGCGTTTAGAGGACAGAAACACATCCGTATAATCCACCACCGGGTATTAATAGGTGCGGGTCTGTAATCACCGTAACTTACCTCAGCTAGAAGGAAGAAAGCCCGTGCACTAGTATGTGACGTCATCACAGAGAGATCAAGCGTGGGCGCAGGTAGGACCCGACTGTTTCGTCAACATTCGGCTGGGCGTCGTGTGCAATGCAATTAGTGCGACGGAGTAGGTTCAGCGTCGGCTTCGGGTCCAATAGAGCCTTATCGAAATTTAGACTGGCAACCTTATTCGCTATCATCATCTTGACGTGTCTGGAATATGTGCCCAACAAATGGCGGTCTTCTTGAAGCTGATGAAGGAAAACGTTTAAGATACTATACCAATCGGAGGTACGAGGTCTGCACGTTCGAGACGTCGGTACAACACGACACGAATGTGATACGACGGTAGCATGAGCGGCTATTTCGGAATGGGATCCATTCGACCGGTCTTAGCGTAAGTCTGCTTCCAGAGTCTTTTCATAGCGGAAATTTAATCAATGGGATTATGGGTCGCCGCTTTTTACTGGTCAGTTTTTTTCGTTCACACCATTCAAGCTGAAACAAATGAAGAAATCATTATGGGGTGATCTAAGAACTAATTTTTATCTACCATTGATGCGACGGCGCCCGATGAAATATAGTTTCAAGACCGGCGTTACTTTGTCGAAGGTGAAACTACTTTTTTAGCCACCAGGTGGCACTGCATTTTGAAAAAAGGGTCCATAGCTGAGTCGGCGCGATCCGAGCGTGATGAGGTGACGTGGAGGAGGGGGAAGCTATTCGCAGGATTTTTACATCATAGGTGGTGCCGTAACGCTCCGACTCCGTTTTGTACTTTGCGGTGACCGTAGCTTGCCGGTGCTTTTCGGATGCGCCTTCATGAGCGAACATGCACTTTTGAGTCTGTGATTCAGTTTGCAACCAAGGAAGTAGGCGGCAGGCGACTGTATTATACCTACTTGGATTTTGCATACAGCGGGTAATGGGCGCTCAACGAATGTGGTATATTGTCTCTGAACGGCAACCTCAGTTACCAGGGGCCTTATTATGTTTATAGACATATTGTACTTATAGACTGGGTGTAAACCACGTGGACCAACGTCGTCCTATTGAACGTGTCAACATATATTTTACGATATATCAAAGTGTCGAATTGACGGAGGTAAATTAGCTACCATTTTACATTTTGAATATTCATCTTTATGCAATCCCACCAATAAGAAAGTTGCGAAGCCTGCTAAGAAACAACGTACCGTGTCGTTTCCGTCAAGGTAGCCCTCGTGTGTCTAGTGTTTTATAGCTATAAACAAAGCAAGAAAAAGTGAAAAAAAAGTCAATCTTTCCACTCTGGTGAAGATGGAAACCAGCGGAGATGTGCAATGGAAAGTAATGGCCAGCCGCATGTAGGCAAGCCAGAGTGGAAAGGCTGCCACCATCTATGAGCGACGGCGGCAACCAGATACGTAGCTTGCCGCCGTCTCTCATAGATGGCGGTAAGGGTCCAGAATTTGTTGTGTTCATTTCTTTGCGGGGGACAAGATCCTGGAAGAACAGGCCCTTAGCAGCTCCGCCGTAAAAAAAAGACACGTGGCAAACGGCATTAACATTACAACTAGCAAGCATGTAGTCATCTGAGATATTTTAAAAATATCACGCGTGGTTTTGGACTTTTTCTACCACTCTAGACATTGAACACACGAGGGCTACCTTGATGAAAACGACACGAGGAGGTGGTTCTCGACACGCTCCTCAACTTTCGCATTGTTGGGTTCGCGCACAAATTATTAAAGCGTGAAGCGCTTTAAATATTGTTTGTCTGTCCGTCCATCCGCCTGTCGGTCTGTCTGTGCATTCGCCGCTACATTTAGCGGGGAAACTGAATTGGTGTTTAGGTCACGTAATGTCAATTGATGTCACGTGATCTATGTGCCAATTCACTTTTCCCGCTAAATTTAGGAAAAAAATGGATGTCACGTGACTTGACATCGCGTGACCTACACAGCAATGCGGTTTCCCCACTATATTTAACGGAAAACATTTATACGACATGAACTGACGTCACGTGCCGCGTGGTGTGCACACGAATTCGGTTCCTCGTTGTATTTAGCGAACAAATTGTCGTCATGTGGCATCAATTTTATCGCTAAATACAGAAGGGAAACCGCATTGGTCACGTGACCTGACGTCACGAGACCTGTGCACCAATTCAGTTTCCCCGGTCAATGTATATCGGGGAATTTGATAAAAGGCAAAGTTCTTTACTCCACCAAACAACTGTTTAATGTCTTCGAAATAATTTTACACGACCAGACCTTATATACTGCATTTAATGCATTCTAGGACTTGGGATATAAAGGACCCTGCCGATTTTTATTTAATTGGTTATTCAATTTATCTGCGTTAATACACCGATCTCACCAAGCATTCGGCGCATGAGTGAAGCCGCCATAACTTTAGTTGGCAATGACAGAGTTGTCTTGCGCTCTGCACATGCGGAGCTCCAGCGAGGTTACTGCAAGTGCAGAAAAAATGCGTTTCATCGATCCATTACGGCAGCTGTGTTGCGTCGCAAAACTAGATTCTGAGATTGGCTTATTAGTCAGTTCAGCACGTCGTGATAAATACCTGGAATTGCTTAGTAGAGTTATGAGCAAGACCGCAATGGTTCGGCATGCGTAGCGTATGTAGCTTTTTGTTTTCGTTTTTTTTTTTGTATAAGTTAGTTGAAACACTTTGTATACATATAGTAAAAAACACGTTTGAATTGCAGTAATGATACAACAAAAGTCGTTGGCTGGCCGTGGGGTGCCCGTCCGCGGCAAGTAGACAGCAAGATGAAAAATAATTTTGTGAATTGGTTTTAAAATGCGACAAAATTTCGCAGTTCATGTTTGAAGAATGTTGCACAGCAGGTCCTCAGCAGCTCAATAAAGGAAATTTTACGCAGATCAAAGACGGTACAAAATTCTGTCACGTTTCTACGAGAATCTGCACAACACTTTTCGCAACTTTCTTCCTTTTTTTTTTTTTTTTTGTAGCGTGAATTGGTGTGCTTAATTGGCTGGCGTTTGCTCGATTCCAGGTGAAGGTGTGGTTCCAGAACCGACGAATGAAGTGGAAGCGCACCCGAGGTGCCACCCACGTGGCTCCGACAGAGAGAATGCAGAGAAACGCTTCGGCCGGACTCGTCCTGTCCGCTTGCCTGACTGCGGGCAGCGTAGAAGAGGACGGCCACTACGCTGCGGACGACTCCGGGGACGCAGGCCAAGGGGCACCGCTACTGCAACCATCCTCTCTTCGGCACTTTCTTCCATACAAACCTTCTTGAACGCACGCCCATACGTGTCAAAACGAAAATAAATACGAGGAAAACTTACGTACATGTCGTTTTACGCCATTAAATTAAAAAAAAAGTAGTAGAAAAGAGAAAGAATGTGGTGAATGAACATCGTGTGTTTGGAAGGTTGAGCGTGTTGGTGACTGTCGTGGCGTTTTTCTACCCAGACAGTTTCTTGAAATGTCAACTCGGAGCGAGCACGTTTCGTCTAATACGAAACGCCCCCTTTACAAACCGTCAAAGCAGAGCGTAGCAACGCTAAAGTTTCTGCATATGAATACAATTGTTTGTATCCCAGTCGGAATTTGTTACTGCCCGAAATAGTGAGGTCGAAAATCCCACTTTTAACGCATCTTACAAAACACGCACTGTTCGCTGCATGCCTCAGACAGCGTCTGCATACTGTATTTTGTACGATGTATTAGCAACCTGACTCCAGCTTAATTCTGCTGTGCTTGTTGCTTCTGGGGTTTTTCCAGGATAGTTTTTAGGTCCGTCGCTTTTTAAGTCTATATTAACGACCTTCCTGAACTATCTCCTCGTCTATACGTACGTTGTTCGCGATTTTGTTACATTTACCTAAGATGCTAGATTATTGTGATAATGGTGTACTTCAGTCCGACATCAACGCTGTCTTTCAGTGGTGCGATTATGGTCTATAAAACTCAACACTAACAAGTGCAAGTATACGCTTGTTACTCGCAAGTTTCAAGGCATTCATCATTACTGCTTCATTTGGAGTTGGTAGTTTGATACAAATGTCTGGGCGTGCACATAACTTCTCACCATTTATGAAAAACGCGTTTAGTGCACAACCAGCTACGCTAATAGCAGGTTAGGTCACCCCAGAACGTAACGTTTCCTTGGGACCTATTTCAATCAAGTTACTTCTTACAAAACCCTAATTCTTCGCAAAGTTAGAATTTGTACCTTCTCTCTGGAATCCTGGAAAATATACTTTCATTCTTGTATTGAAAGCCATACCAAAGATATACGCTTATTTTATTCTCACGAATGACCACCGCAGCTACTGCAAGAGTCACTAGCAGTAAAACCACTCTGTCAGTGGCACCGGAGTCTTCCCGCCAAAAAAACAAAATTGCTCGTCTTTTTTTTTCATAAAATTTATTTTTGCTTGCGAAGTAAACAATGAACAACCACCGCAGATATGTTAATGAACTTGTGAAAGACGAGGGAGGAAGACGACGGGGCGGAAGGCACGTGGCAAGTGGTCGTCCGAAGAAACACGAGTTGGCGCTTGACAGAGCGTGCTGCGAGAGGCTGGGGCCGGGCAAGAACACTAAAGCCTGCCTGACCCATGGCGACCGCCGGAGCGGTCCCCCAGCGAAGCTCGGACTAGGACAGGCGGGAACGGCGAGACCTGGCCACACCGTCGGCCTAGACCTGGACAATTCCGCTGTGGTTTGGCAGCAAGACTCGGGCCATGACAGCCAGGAACAGCTAGCCTACCAGCGCTGGCGTGGGAATGACGATCCGCAGGCCCGGACACGGACTCCGACTTCTTGTGCTTGGCACCACGGGCGACAACTAGAATCGACGGGCCCGGACTGCCGGCTCTTGAGGACGGGCAATCGGGGAGTACAGTAAACCCATTCGCTGCCTTCTCGTTGTGTTGTGTCACTGTTTGGGAGACCAGCGAAGTACAGACTGATCGGGCGGCCTATTATTATAGAGCGACCCCACATAAAAGTGGCATTCAACGTGGGGCCCGGTCGGTACGCCTATGCTTCTGGTTGCCGCCAGGGAGTCTCACAGATTCGTGGAGCGGGTTGTTCACTAACGCTAACGACGCCCGTCGAGACAAAGTCGGTCGAAAGTTTGGTGACTTGTCTCACAGCAGAGCTCAGCAGCTGTCTTCTCCTGGAGTCGAGTACCTAAATACCCCGAAGGACGACGCTGCAAACGCGCTCTCTTGGGTACCTCGGGATGGTGGTCCTACTCATCGACGCTAAGTGTCCCAACCTTGGACAGGACAGTCCTGAGGTTTACGCCAGCAATCGTACCTGGAGCACGATAGCTGTCGGTCATTGACGGGTGCTTGTTTCCGTGGCCCCACTGCCTCCCGTCGAACCTCGTCGCTGCATTGCGAGTTGGCGTCCACGTTCGGCTCTCGTGAATGGGTTGGCGCCGGAACCATATCTCTGTCGCGTCCCTCCGCCACCTCCATCGATGTTGCGATGACACAAGGCCTTTGCCATATCGGGGCATTGCCGTCTTCTACGGCCAGCAGCTTGCATCGGATCCCCTCGCTGCGCACTCCCACGACGAGTTGTCCCTCAGTGCTTCGATCAAGCACGCACCGAATGCGCAGTTCGTTGCCAACCATCTCAGTTTCACTACGCACTCGTCGATTGGCTCTCGGCTTTCCTGGGTACGTTGTCAAAGTTCTGCTGCTCAGTCACAACAGAACGCTTGGGCTTGTAATGCTTCAGAAGTACAGCTGCAACGGAAAAAGAGTAGCACAAGAGACCGATGAGCGGAGCGGCAGAACCGCGACACGCGGCGCTATTGTTCCCGAGCTCGCCGATAGCGAGAGTGCAAGTCATGTTGCACTTTTTCATTGTGGGGATGGCCGGCGGAAATTTGAGGGATAAGATAGGTTTTAAAATGCAGGCTTTAAAATAAGCTGCTTGCTGCCGGCCGCTCCCTCGTTGAGACATGGAACGTGACTGTCACTCTCGCTATCGGCGCGCTCGGGAACAAGAGCGCCGCGTGTCGCGATTTTGCCGCTCCGGTCATCGGTCTCTTGTGCTACTCTTTTTCCGTTGCAGCTGTACCTCACTTACGTTTTGGTAAGTTTTATTCTCTGGCGTCTCCAGAAGGACCAGGTTTTGTAGTGTCATGTAGGCTTAGTCATAGGGTCACTGTGACGAACACATTTGTTTTGCGCTGGTCGTCGAAATCGCTGACTCTTGCAAAAGCTTCAAACCGCTCCAGGTAGACCTCCGGTTATTACAAAGAGTTATTATAATGTACGCTAGAGGTTCAACTGGCGCTAGTGTCTATGCGACTTCCGGGAGGCAAATTGAAGCAGACAGTAACCAGTCAACTTTTGCGGTGTTCCTGTGCATTCCTATGGGAAAACTCGCGTGAATTTTGTCTCTTCGCCGGAAAATAACATAAATAACTTTTATTATTTCGGTTGTGCCGGATAGTATGTACCTTTATTAATATTGTAAAAGTGTAATTGCTTTAATTACAGCATTTTTCTTTAACATTGAACGATGTTACTCTTTGCTATATTTCAGGCCCAAACCTCTGTTCCGTGGCAAATATGTAAAAACGAACGACGATTCTGAGCTAACTACCGATCGAAAGGAATGTAGAGTTTGTTCAAGGTTCGCTAGCATTCCGGTGCCGGTTATATATTGCTAATATGCCCGTCCTGTCACTCTATGAGTATGACTCCGTCGTGCATCGTTACGATCGGTTAAAGAACATTCGAATGTAAAAAAATAAAGCACGTGGGCTACGAAAGGTGTGTCTTTATTATTTTCGATGTCAGGCAGTTTTTATCGGGCACTTGTTTTCTGACCTCTCCCTATTTGTAAAGATTTGGAGCGTGTTGTTGATGATTTGAACCCAGAACATGCATCTTCGCACATATTCACGGGCAGAAAAAATAAAGCAGTACTGATTTATTGCAAATCGGACTATATTACGTGGCTTTCAATTTATTTTGATCGCCTGCATGCACAAGGAGTTACTTATCCAGTGTTCCTGCGTAGTTTTTGCCGTCTCTCTTGGTTTTCCACATGTCCTTTGTTCGTTTGACACGTATATCCCCCATGGCGGAAAGCGCCGACGCCGTGTTCGCGCTAACAGTGTCCGGCAGTTCACACAAATACATGCACGAAACGGTTTTAGCACCGTTTTTCATACCACGAATTTCAAATAAAAACGCCGTAACTGACCAATTATTTCGTCTGCGTGACTGAAAAAATGATCCAATGTGCCCAGTACGTACGGAATATTTGTGATATTTGCTCTTATAATCGTGCGCAGCGAGAAAATAAACTCACATTTTACCATAGAAAAGCATTACCGGAAGTTAATTCCCGACTGGTTGCTGTCTGCTTCAATTTGCAGCAGCACACTAGCGCCAGTTGAACCTCTAGCGTACATTATAATAACTGTATGGGTTATTAGTAGCGCGGGGAAGAATTCACTCAACCGACCGATGAGTGACAGGGTGACGCTGGCCGACGCTCCCGCGTTGCCGTCCATGGTGCTTCGTACTCCGGCTTGTATCCTTTACGCCAGGTAGCTGGGTGACATCCTCATCGCCATTGTTAGAACACGGACACCAACCATGGTCTGGGACCGGTTTATTACTGCCGACTAGGCGCTACAAAAAGAAGTGCACAGACAGGCCTCTCGGTGTGTTATCTATACTATCAATACATAGTGCTGTACTATGAAGCGCGAGTATTTTCCTTGTGGGCTACATATAAAACACTTTCAATATTTCAGAGCAATGCTTGTGTATACATGCGTTGACCAGTTAAACTCGTCGTTAATTCACATGCCTAAGAATTTTTACTCTCCCTCACCTGTTTTAAAGACACTTTATTAACGTTAATACGTATGAATTATTTATCTTGCATGTTAATTTGACGAAATATCACATATTGAGTTTATACACTATTCAGTCGTAGCTTTGTTGCGCTTTAACTATATAAAGTGGTGAACCAGATATATATTTGTCATAGCTTCTAGTGTAAATTAGATTTTCCCCTAAAAATAAGTTAAAGTTTGCACACATGATTAATTTTGGGTAGCCTTGTGTGGTTGTCAAATCATTAGCATGAACTAGAATTAATGAAGGACCTGTAATTGACCTTTTTCCGTGCTGTATTTCTAATGTATCAGATGCTGCTTTAATATTGTAAGCATTTTTGCATAATTCTCACACATTTTCCTCATATTGACATCGATCCTTCTCTTTTTCATTGATTTTCAGATTTGCA